ATGTTGCACATTTAAGTAAATGGAGTTGTCTGCCTTCTTAAATCACTTACCATATAAATCTGTTATGCATAGCTCTGGAATTCTACTGACATTATCTCATATAACTCTGGATAGAGAAGTAGGACTCCATGAATTTATCTGTGTGCTTCGTTCCAGCTAGCTTTTAATATGATAAATGCATGTTTCTAATTTCTTTTCCCTTTAATGTAACTTAAGCCCTGCATTTATTTTATCATTCTTTCCTTGTTCATTTTCAAGTGCATACAAGCTCTAATTCCATATTTGCTGATTATACTTCTCCTCATGATTGGTTATACTTCTCCTCATGATTGGTTGAAACAGGTGGGATTATTCCAATCCTGGCTACCTTGATGCACTAAAACACCTCACTGATCTGAAAGAAGAAGGTCTGTTATTATCCACGCTTGGTGAGTTTAGATTAATCTTCAAGAGGCCAACTTATAGATTTGATTGGGCTTCTTCACTCTGTGACCCACAGGTAAAATTAAGACTGTGGCTTTGACAAATTTTGACACAGAGAGGCTGCAGATTATTCTCGAGAATGGAATACCCATTGTTAGCAATCAGGTTTTTTTTTTTTGACCAACTAGCGATGAGGTATCAAATTCACTAATTTTCTAACTTTTCTACAAACTTGTGTTGCTGATCATATATGTTCATTGTGGTGTCATCAGGTGCAACATTCAATTGTTGATATGCGTCCTCAACAGAAAATGGCAGAGCTTTGTCAGCTTGCAGGAGTCAAACTCATAACGTCTCTCTTTCTTTCTCTTTCTCAACTGACATAGAACATGCTCACACACATGCACATGTATTTTGAGTTTGTGACACGTATGCATAGATTGACATCCAGTGCTTTGCCATAGCTCAGGCATTAAGGACAGTGCTTCTGAACTCAATAGAACATTCTAACCAGAAAAAATCCATTTTGGAATTGAATTTTGGCTTTAGTAATTAAAATCTCTTTGCCCTTGAATTTTGGTTACAGATTTACAACTCTGTCAGACAATAGCAGAATGCCAAATTTCTTGTTCATATTGATTACATCTTCTAGCATGTGATTTTTTTTTTTTTTTCCTTTTTCTGTTACTAAGTTTAATTTAGAGTTCTGAATGCAGGTATGGAACAGTAATGGGTGGTTTATTATCTGAGAAGTTCCTTGACACCAATTTGGCCATTCCATTTGCTGGCCCTCCATTGAACACACCCTCTCTCCAGAAATACAAAAGGGTACAAATCCCTCTCTTATTCTAATTATCCAGTAAAGATAGAAAGTATACATTATCATCTTTTGACATAAAATGTGGTAGATGGTTGATGCTTGGGGAGGATGGAACCTGTTTCAAACCTTACTCCAGACATTGAAGAAAATATCATCCAAGCATGGCGTCTCTATCCCAACTGTTGCCGTGAAGTACATACTAGATCAGGTAATTATGAACTCTTATGACTTTTTTCTCGTATCTTGTGACAAATAAAGTGCCACTTAAATACCAAAAATACCATTCTTTCTGGAATTTCAGCCAGCAGTCGCAGGATCAATGGTTGGTGTGAGACTTGGTTTGTCGGAACATATCCAAGACTCAAATGCCATATTTTCCCTTGTTCTCGATGAGGAAGATGTAAACAGCATACAAGAAGTCTCGAAAAGGGGGAAGGATCTGCTCAAAGTGATTGGTGATTGTGGAGATGAGTACCGGAGAGCATGAGACCCGTATAGTTGGATGTTTTATACTTCTATTTGCTTTTACACCTACAGAGAGGCATACAGCATACTGTGGCCAGGCTCTCTGTTTTTTTCTCCTTTTTTCTTTTTGTATGGAAGCACCAAGCATAGCTATTTTTGAAAGAAGATGAATGGTTGGTCTTCTTAAATTGTTCGTTCATTAATTTATTTTTAAAATAATTTAATTAATTGAATAAAGTAATAAAAGAGAGGCAAAAGAG